TTTTAGAAGGAAAAACCCACCCTTAGATTCTACAATCAATATTTTCTATGCATGCTTTTTTACAAGTCTATTTAGTCATTCACGCCTCCATCCACCCTTCAATCCATCTTATTTTTTAATGCATTTCAAAGTTAGCTGCATACATCAGCTCACTTATCCTAAAATACTCCAGCCTGCAGAACATGATCTAAAGTCCTATATTGGTTTGACACTCTCCTTACTTTTTTCTTTTGGGGTAAAATGACACAGAATAAAATGCACAAAAAAAGACTGTCTTCTTTGAGCTTTGACAAATGCACGCACCTCGTAATCCAAATGCCTATCAAGATCATAGAATAGGGCCGGCCAAATGGCTCAGTTGTTAGGAGCCCGAGCTCTGAACAACACGGCCGCCGGTTCGATTTCCACATGTGCCAGTAAGCTATGCCCTCTACAGCTAAGATGGTGAACAACAGCTCAACCTGGAGTTGGGCTGCTGTGAGTGGCCCACGATGGCGTAGGCTGGGCTGCAGTGGGTTGCCGTGAGTTGCCGGCAGCCAGCTGGAGCAGCCATCCAATGGCTGGTGACCAACTGCCTCAGCCAGGAAGAGCGCAATGATGGAGCAATGATCCTAATACCAACATGGGCCAGTGAAGCGATGTCCTCCACAACTAGACTGAAGAACAAAAGGACAGCAACTTGGCTGTTCTCCTTCCCAAATTCACCAACACCGTTCCCCTCCCCCAATTCCCCAATAAAATCTTAAAAGAAAAAAAATCACAGAACGTTTCCATCACTCCAGAATCTTCTTTTATGGCCTTTCCCTGGCAATCCCTGCCTCTGCTCCTAGGCAAACATTGTGCCCACATTTTTCCTACCTGGGGTAGCTTTGCTTGTTCTAGAACTTCATATAAATGGGCTCCTAGAGTCTGTACTGTTTTGTGAATGGCTGCTTCCACTCAGCCTAAGGATTTTCAGAATTCTCCATGTCCAGAGACCCTGACCTCTTGATCTCTGTCGAATGACAGTGTCTGATGTATAATAAGCTAATTAGCACTGGAGAAATGTTTGTGGATGAGAAAATGATTGCGTTGAATGAATCCAAATACATGAGTGAATGAATGAATGAATGAATGAATGAATGAATGAAATTGTTGTTTGTTCCCAGGAAACTTGCTCTCACTCTTCTCCAGCTTCTCTCACCAACCTCCTTCTTGGTCTTGGTTCAGGGGGCTACAATTCCAAATAGCAGAGATCCCCCCACCTCCTGTTTCCTAGTCCCTTAGTCTTCCCATGAAAATGTGTTGTCAGGCACATGTTACTGCCAGGTTCCTGCCTTCCCCCTTTATCTGCTTCAGATTCCAGCTTTATTTCCTCCCCTCCTGCTCTTCTCTAGATAAACCCCTCCACCTGGCTCTAGAACTGCTAAAGTCTCTCCTGGGTCAAAAATGCACTCCCTGAGCAACCAGAGCCCCAAGACATTGCTGGTGGGGGTGCAAAATGGTGCAACCACTTTGGGAAATGGTCTGGCAGTTTTTGATAAAAGTTAAACACTCACCTACTATCTGACCCACTGCCAGTTATATACTCAATAGAAGTAAAAAAAAAAAAGCCATAGGATCTGTACAAGAGTGTTCATAGCAGCTTAATTCATAGTGACTCACACTGGAAACAATGCAAACTTTACTCAAGAGTGAATAGATACACAGATTGTGGTTCAGCCACACAATGGAAGATGGGTCAACAGTGAAAAGGGACAAACTTTGGATACACACAACAGTACGGATGAATCTCAAAGACATCATGCCTAGAGATAGAATCTAGGCACAAAAGACAACATACGGTGTGATTTAATTTATATGACATTCAAGAAAAGACAAGTCTAGCCAATAGAGACGAAAGTAGATTATGGTGGCCTGGAGCAGGGGTGGGGAAGGAATTTGAGAGGATGATGGAAATGTTTTATATTTGGAAGGTAGTGGTGGCTACACAGCTGTATACATTTCTCAAAAAGCAATCTGACTTGGACCTTGCAGACACCGCTGCCCAGACTTCCCTACGCTCAACCATGGTCAACCCCACCGTATTCTTCGACATCGCCGTCAACGGCGAGCCCTTGGGCCGCGTCTCCTTCGAGCTATTTGCAGACAAAGTTCCAAAGCCAGCAGAAAACTTTCGTGCCCTGAGCACTGGGGAGAAAGGATTTGGCTATAAAGGTTCCTGCTTTCACAGAATTATTCCAGGATTTATGTGCCAGGGTGGTGACTTTACACGCCATAACGGCACAGGTGGCAAGTCCATCTATGGGGAGAAGTTTGA